ACACGTCGTACAAAAGACAAATAAAAACCATTTTTCTATTGAGAAGAAGAGGAGCAACAAGGAGTCTGCCTACACTACGTGGTCTTCACACATGCTCGCCAGTATGCCTCCTGGTCGTCCAGTCCTCTTTAGTGTACGATGGGATGGTAGGGTCTGTGGGGCCACTGGGGGGGTGGTGACGTCCTATTTGAGTGCGTGTGATCTGATCTTCGTTAATTGTCTCACACGCCTTAAACCACCCTACTTATCGAAAGACTTTTCCCCAAAGGATTCTAATAAAAGTTTTCGATGATTGAAACCCGTAAAAAAATTACATAAGTTGTTAACCAAACTTATTGTGTAAAATCTGTTATTAGTGTTGAAATGTAATGAGTATGTTATTTACTAATTGTGAAGTTATAACAAGGAAAAACTTTATTTTAAACGAATATGTAAGTTAATCGGAAGGATTAGTGTCCTAAAGCCAGGTGGTTACAAGGTGCCGTGAGACGTTTGGTAAACCTGTTTGTACTTGCCAATCATGTGTGCAAATTTTATTTCGCGATTCGATCTTGGTAGGAGTCCTGTTCAGGGTCATTATGAAGTGAGACCGATCCCCATTTCACCACGTTTAGTTCTACGAATGCAGATTACACGAAACCAAGTCTCGTACACAAATTCTCGGTTTCAAGACTCTGGTCGAGTGGACCAGACGTGGGTCTTCGACAGGGGCAGGGTGTTGTGTACTGTATCTGACTTGGTTGTGTTTCAGTCTCACTTCGGTCTACTGTGTGTGCTGGTCAGTATTTTGCTAACCCCCCCCCCGACTGCTCTGTTTATATCAGGTCGACTTCTCACTATGTCTCCCGTCGTACCCAACAATTATTGATGTTGTAGAGTTAACAAATGTAAACTCTGTAATATTCCGTGTAAATGGTTGTCTTTGTGTCGAAAGGTGACCCACGGACACTATTCCAGTGTTGTCTAATATTTATTATATGTTATTCGGAATATATTACTACTGTCATAACATTTGATTCCCACTCGACCTTGTGCTTAACGTAAATTTTCACCGTAATACAAGTTTAAGTCTCGCTAAGTTTCGACCCTAAACAATCTAAACAGACCCAAACAAATTTCGTTTAGGAGTCAACTTAAAAATCGATTATCTTTAGCCAGTGATTGTCTTCTAGGTATCCTAACAACTTTGAGTCTCTAACTCTGGTCTTGTCGTCGAGTCGGCACCAGTGGATGTTAAGGACTCGTCGAAGGAGGTCTCTTGCGAGCAGGAAGGACCTCTCCTTGGAAACACACAAGCAAAGCGCGACAGGACGACCTGTTAGGACACCGGCCGGAAGACCACTCCAATTTACTTTGTACCGTCTGGTTTTCAACAAAGAAAATGACTCGAACTTAGACTTGAAAATTTTACTTGAAACTGACAACCGACGTTCCTGCAGAATAGGTGAGCGCGGTTAATATTGTTTACTTGTACCGTGTAGGGTCAGTAGTCGGGCGGGGTTCCGAGAATTTTTTTTGTGTTTTTTTCTGTGCACCGAGATTCGTAAAATACTCCATTTGAACGATCGTAGTGATGTTTTACAAAAATTTTCTCAACTGTTGGCAACCTTAAGTACAGTCTCCGAGACGTCAGGGGAGTGTACATTCTTGTGTTTAAGTCCTGAAGTAAACAAAAAGAAACACACGCCAAACTTTGTCAAAGTATACACATTTTAAAGTTATAGTGTGGCTCATCCTTGTATACAATAGTCTAAGTGGCCAAACTGAAGCATTGACAACTTTCAGGGCAGTCATGTGATGTTTTAGGGACAACATTATTTTTCCTTCTATGTTTATTTTTTTTGCCGCTGCTTTTAATTGAACTATTCATATCTTAGACTGCACTGTAACTTTTATCCATGTATTTTTTCTTTTATTAGCTTTTCTTTTTAATGACTGATTTTAAATGCCATTTTCTTAATGTCTTTCATTTTTTGTAAAGCACTTTGAATTGCCTTGTGTTGAAAAGTGCTATATAAATAAACTTGCCTTGCCTAATAAAGATTTCATGTGACACATACAATTGATTTGTTGAAGGGAATTAATGTGAATAAATTAACTCTAGGTTAACGGTACTCTTGCTATCACTACTCACCGACACTATAAACCTTGTCCCTCATGCTAGCCCTGACAACACCGGTAAGCACACCTTCATCTAGGCTGCACTCTTACGTGTCCTGACTTGTAGTGGTTCTCTCCTCTATCTACACTCTTCTTGTCATCTTTGTAAAACGATATCAGACTGGTAATTGACACAGCCATGACTTCTAGTTAAATTCAGTGTGGCTAAAATGAAAAGCTTTGTTAAAATATGCAAGCGCGCGAAAGTCAAAGTCAGCTTTATTGTCAAAAATCCTACATGTGTTATTATACATCCAGAAATATCGAAATATCGTTTCCCACAGTGTGACATGTATACATAAAACAAAACAAAAAGGGCCTAGATAAACGTGGTATACAGTTTAAAATGTTAATATATTTAATTTAAAGTGTTCAAAGTTAGTTTCAGTGCAAGTCAGTTGAAACGATCTTAAGTTGGCGTGACGTTGAAGTCGTGCGACCCTGCTGCTATACTGGCTTGTAGTTCGTTTATAGCATAACGTTAGCATTTCGCTTTTGGCGACTAGATTTATGATTCAGAAATTATAAAAGTAGGGTTGGCATGTGGAGATTATCCGGCTGAAGAAAACGTGATCCCTCTCTTAAATGTGTGTCAACCACAGACCTTATTTCGAGCTATCTTCCAAAATCCTATGGAGAATTTGCATTGGTTTTTCAAGAAGGAACCGGAAGAAGTTTACTTCCGGGTTTTACGACGCGTCACTGCGGTTCTCTATAACAGTTGTTAGTAGCCTTAAAGAGCAACTTCCAGATTAAAGACACCTGTGAATAAATGTGTAGGAAAATGATGAATACACTAGATTTTCAAAAACATACAGAAATATACACTACAGTGACATCTGGCGTCGTTTTTCTAAGAAATGTTCACTTCCACATAAAAAAGCCTCCCGCGTGTGACGTAACATGGGGGAAACAAGGGGGAGAGCGGCCGGTGTAACGTATTAATAAACATGGATCCCAATGCTAGTTTCGACACAGAAGACAGAAGAAGTTGAACATGAATATTCGAATGCATATGACAGGACCACAACCTTATAATTATGAGCCTGCTAGGCCGTCCACAGAGACCAGGAGGCAGCCAAAGGATTAAGAAGAAAAAACGGCGCATCGGACGAGAAATTGAGCCTGTGGTGTCGAGGAGAACGCAGTGGACGAACTGGGCCAGCTATCTTGGTGAGTGACGCCGGCGTTAGCTAACAGGTATGTTAGGGCTAACGTCACATCAGCAAAATTATGAAGTTAGACTAATCAATTGGATATCAGGTATCAACTAACGTAAGCGGTAGCATTGATAATAATAGTAACGTTAGCTGGCAGGACTGTTGATAGCTGATGCCATAACAGAAACTAAATGAGGGCAAGTATCAGCCGCCGTCATTTCGGCGTTAACCTAATGCAACTCGCACACTACGGTGTGCTGTTGTAAGCGGAGGAGAGAACGGCGAGATACGGCCCTGATACTTGACGATCTGGCCCGGAGAAAAGGTGTGGAAGCCTCCGTTGATATGCCCGTTGTAAATGGCCTTTATGGAAAGCGGTTGTGTAGTGCGGGAGGGTGGCACAGCTGATTGCAAGCAGGTGAGTGGAGGTTGAGCCGGGGAGCGCAGGAGTGACAGCCACCAACAGCACACACAAACAACACAGACAGGGGGAAAGCAACCAAACACAAGGGAGACGGCTGGAGCAGTAATCACCACAGCGTTAGCCTAATGCAATCTCCACAACTACGTTCTTAAGGTGCTGTGTAGCGCGGACGGGAGAGAGAGAGAGAGCAGCGAGTAGTCTGCAGGGAGGTGGAATGCACAACGCAACCCAGGACGAACGCTAGCTCCGGTCCTTTTACCCTGTGGATTCGATGTCCTGACAGGCCCTGTATTCTGTGGCAACATGCAACAAACACAATACTGCAACCATGGATTTACATAATGGTGAAATACAATGTAAAACTAACCAAAAAAATACCAAGCCTCCACAAAACAGCAACCGCTCAACTCAACGCAACTAACTAACGCTTTGTGATGTAATATGAAACGCGTTTGACGTATGACCTTTAACACATTTCAAAATTGCTCCCCGCTTTAGCCTCTGAATTCCTCGGCCCTTATGTCTCGTAAAACATATCAAATCCCTACATTCACTTTTTAAATTGTAATTTCAAAGGCAAGTTTAAGCATAAATGTAGAAAAAAAAAAAACCTGAAAGATGGCTCTTTAAAGGGCCTATCACAGTTTGTATGGCTATACCCAATTGCCCTTCAGCCTGCCATGAGGCTGCCAGCTTAAAACCTACATTTTAGCATTTAAAATATACCTAGCCATCTCTTTTGCGGTTATTTTTGGTGAAAGTAACCTCAAAAAGTAAGTGTACCACTCATTACATTGCCAGAAGAGCCACTATGATTGTAATGTAAGCTTATTACTTTAAAAGACAGTAATAAGTCATATGTAATATATTAGCATTTTGGAAAGTAACTTGCCCAACAACTGCTTATTTGTGAAGGCTGGCAAACAGATGAGCTATTGAGTTATGAAAGGGCATTTTAAATACCAAATGTTATTATCATAAGTATGACTTAATCCTTNAATCTTTAGACTCTCTGGGATAATCCAGTCCAAATACATCGGCTATGCAGCGATGTAAGAGGTTCAAACACAGAGGATTGTTCGCTCAGCGCTGTAAATTAAATTTCCCTTAACTTTCCCCTTAACTGCCTAATCGGATGCTCTGAATCGGAAGCCAACTTCAGCGTCGTTGGAGGGAGGAGGGGGGGGGAGTAGTTAGCAGGCAAGAGTACATTTTCTAAATATAACGTCTCTACCTTAATGGCTTTAACAATTACACATTTGAGCGAATGAAGGCAGGTTTTGCATTTAATGGAACTACATTTTCAGGGGGAAAAGTAACACTTTCCTATTTTCTATTTAAAGTGTATACGTTATAATATGCTTAAACCCACAGGGGCTCTGCTGAGCTACGTCCCTGTTTCCTCCGCTACCCAGAGTCCTCCCAAAACGGTTGGCATTATCATGACTCAAAACCTCCAGCATACTCTGAATTGTAATCTACTGACGTTATTTCCTTATTTAAGGCGTGCCAGAGCAAAGCATAACTAAATTTGACTTTAAAACAGTTCCTACTGTTGCGTTAAATAACTGTTAAGACAGTACAGTTTCTACAGTAATGTCACTGTGTTTTGGGAATTCAATGCCATGCGCATTGTCGGTAAACCAACAATCAGGGTGAAAGATAAGTAGGTTATGTAAGGTTAAGTTGAGTCTCAGGTCACGAGGACGACGTAAACGTCTGTCTGGAGATAAAAAGACACAGATAAGCTAACACATCAACATAGCTTGCAAAGAGTCGGATAATTAATCTCAATATGTCAGCTGCAAGCTAATAAAGCTAGCATTAAAGATAAGAGCTAACATAACAGAGACTATTACACCAGGAGCTTCTCTTTACACCTACCTTTTGCATATTTTGCCGGCGTAATGCTTCTGTTGTTCAGCAAATCCAATATTAAAGATTCGAATTTGCTGTTTGTTATTAATGTATAAAAAAAACTGGTTTCGGATAGCCAAAAATGATGGTGTGTGTTTGATGAGTCTACTCTATGTTGTTGATATCGGTTGATATGTGGCGTCTACGCCTGTGGTCGTGCTCTGCCCCGGACGGTCTTCTTTTTCTTCTGTGATTTTTAAAAGGTAGCTTACATCCAGTGCTGCCATCTTCCGCTAACTGCTCCAGTGTCCAGCATGTCGGATATGGATATCTCTCATAGTCCTGTTCTCATTAGAATTCTACCTAATATCTCCTGCCCTGTCCCCTACGCCTTCACGTCTGTAGCTGCCTGGAAGCTGCTAAGGTTCACTCGGAGGTCAGAGTCGCCAGTCTCTGGGGGTATCTGGAAGGTATCTACAGGCTACATTAAACCGGGTCATGTGAGGTGACACCAACTAAGTGTTATTCCACAAAATGGCCACCAGAAGGCGCTAGAGTAATTCTAATGATACCCTCTTGATGTGATGCAGTAGAGTTAAAATATGCTGTCGAGGAACACCAGGTATGTATTAAAGGAATAATCATGGTTGGAAGTAGTAGGCCTACCTACTTAAGATTTTAACTTGTTTAAAAGTAGCTGGATTTAAATGTAAAAAATTAAATACTATGTAACAAGTGAATGTCCTGCATTTAACATCCTACTTATGAAAAGTATTGGCATCAAAATGTACCCAAATAGGCAAATATATAAGTACTCGCTATTGTGGTGGCTCATTGCAGAATCATAAATATGAATTTACTCGATTGTGATTATTGATGCTTTAATATGGTAACGCTAATTAAGATTACACTTATTTACATTTTGTTGGTATACTTCTACTGAATATCTCAACCTATAATTTCATGCCATTGTTTATTTATATATTTTGTATAAGCTAAGGAGCTGAATCTGTAAAGTCGTGTGTTACTAAAGCTCTCAATAAAGTAAGTCATAGGCGGATTAAAATCATAGGCGGAGTTTGACAGTTGCGCTTGGGGGGGCAAACCTTTTTTACTGACGTCAGTACACAGTCCCAACTATAGAGAACCGCAGGGACGCGTCCAAAAACCCGGAAGTAAGTTAGCATTTTTAGCACTTCCGGTTCCTTCCTCAAAAAGCAATGCATTTTTTCCATAGGGTTTTGGAAAATCGCTCGAAATAAGGTCTGCGGTTGACACATTTAAGAGATAAATCACGTTTTGTTCTACGACATTAAATACATCAGCAGTGGCCCCACTGGTGATTTTTGAAGAGTTTACGTGTCTGAAAAACGATTGTTGTTACCGAGTGGCTGAATAGGACTACAGAAATTATCGAGGCCGTTGTACGTCATTACGCCGAACACGTAAACACTCCCGCTAAGTTTGTTTTCCCCTGTGTTCTGCTTGAAAGCAAGTACATGCCTATCTTTAGTGTCTGTATATCTATGTCTGACCATTAGAATCTGTATTTTTGAAATTGTCGTTTTTAACACCGTAGTTTTACAAATGATAGAATAATTAATTACCAGTGTTTTCCAATTTTACTCGGCAGTTCGTTACGTTAGCTAACGCTAGCTAAAGCTAGCGCTACTAGTTAGCGCTACTCACGCAATGGTTTGTTGCTTTGCTCCGGGTTGCAGCCACAGGTCTTCGCATGAAACGTGCTTGTTCTATCGTTTCCCGGCCAATGTTTTCCAAAGGAGAGTCTGGATTCGTGTCATGANGTGGGATGGGTGAGTGGATCCGCTGGTCCGCGGCTCATTCGCGCATCCTCTAAACACAGAGGAGGAGGCGACGAGACAGGAGTCGCCCAGATGCGCGAACCAGGACTCCACCTCACCTCCCCACGTCTGTGATCTTTCTCCACGAAGGTACTCAACTCGGGAATGAAAGCGTCCCAAGGTGCCAGAAAGCAAAAACCGCCGTGACTCCATGTCGTCCTCTCCTCGTGTAACCCCAGCCACGGTCACGTTTCTGGTTATTCCCGTAAAATAGTCGAAAGCGACGTGATAGCTGTCGCAACGCTGAAACCTATTCCGCGCTGATCACTCCTGTTTACTCCCCTACCCTGTGACGCGCGAGGCTGATGTGTCTTGGTTGGGTGGGGCGGTGGGCGTTTGGCGCGGCTGGGTGTGGCGTGGGTATATGTCCTGCTTCCATCCAGCGCCCGAAACGGTCCTTTACCTTAAACCTCTCCCCCCATTACAATATTTATCTCGCAGCAACCTGAAGACTTTATCATTACAGGTTACTAATACTATGTCGTGTTTTCTCTATCTGCCTCTGAACTACAAAGCTCCTGCATTCAAAGACTCATTTCACTTCAGGGTGATAGCAGGACATCCCATCTAGTCACTCAGAAAAAATCAGGACATTCTGATGTACAGTTTCAAAATAAAAGACCTTTGGGGACAGGGATGATAGCTCATATATGAGACTTCAAAGGTCTTTTATTTTGAAACTGTACATCAGAATGTCCTGATTTTTTCTGAGTGACGACATGGAGTGTCCTGCTATCACCCTGGAGTGAGATGGATCTATGATACTGGACAGTCTTTGTTTTATTCTCATCCAAAAACAGGGATGATAGCTCATATATGAGACTTCAAAGGTCTTTTATTTTATTTTAAGGCTTTACAAAAATTCAAAGTTTCTGGCAATGTGTCCCTTCCAATAACACACAAATAAACCTCTTTGTATTGACGCAATCTATTTTGTATATTTATCATACCAACTGTATTAGTTACATTTTCCTGCGTTTCCGCCTGATGATTCATGCAAAACTGCTGTTCAACAAGAAAATCCTGTTGTACATGCGGCCTAACGTCATATGGGGAAGGAATACATAAAGACATTTGTCCGCATGTAACTTGGCATGTTAACAAATAAGGCGATGAAAAGTAGCCTGTCCAACAAATAGCTTATTAAGAAAGGATGTTGACACTTCTGCTTTTCTCATGCCTTTAAATATGTTGTTTTTTGAAATGATAAGGAACAATTAAAGCACGTATTTACCCAGCTTACTATTGCTACTTCCTCATAGCCAAATGATACACTCATAAGTGCACCTTTTGTACTTTACGCCCTTGACTAGTATTGGTACTGTTTCCCAAAATGTTCAGGATCTATAAATTAATTATTAAAATGTTTCTTTAGATGTACGTTGTTGTACTACTTTTATGATCTGCATGTTTACCTTGTATTAACTTACTTTGTCCTCCCTCATTATGTTTTCATATCAATCAATTACATTTTATAAAGTTTATTGTTTTCATTATATCTATGTGCATGCAGATCTTAGAGATTAATTTATAATCATGGTGTAGCTTACATTGTTTAAAAAAACTATACTATTACTTGCTGGACACCTGGTGTGTGTGAGAAATGCGAAACATGCTGGTCCCAGATCAGTGAGGATCATTGGGGGAGGAGAGAGAGACAGGGAGAGAGGGAGAGACAGAGGAGAGAGAAGTGTATCCTGCAGCAGTCATTCTAAGACAGAGTGCAAGGAAGGAGCCTGAGGACATGTAGTGCATCATTTCCCAGAGAGGCGATGTGTGAGTCCATTGAGCGCCGTCGTGGGCAGACGTGGCCCCGGGGCCCCTTCAGTGTCAGGTAGCCCGTAGCCGAAGGAAACAACCTCTGATGGCTCAAAATGCGCAGCGGCAGCGGTGATGGATGAAAATAAAAAGTTGTGAAACACTATGAAGGCAACACGTCCAGCATCTGAGGATCAGTGGGCACCGATGTGAGAGCCATGGATCATTTTTTCCGGAGGAAGCGCGTGGGTCTGCTGAAGCCTCTGCTCAGCCTGTCCCTCGTCTTCGCCTCTTTCCTCATGATCCACAAGTTGAAAGTGGCAGAGAAGGACGCAGTGGGATTAAAACATGTCAGGGACACGCCGTGGTGTAGCCCCGAGTGTTTTACCTACAAGAAAAGGATCGTAAAAAACAGTTTGGGGAGCTCGGACTTGCCGGTGCTTAGCAACACAGTGGACCCGCAGCGGGTCTCCAATAAGACCCCGACTTCCTGGGACGCGCAGGTTCTCAACTGCAGCGAGGACGCGTCGGTGCGGACGCAGGACTGGTTCAAGCGTTTGGACCCGAGGTTCCACCAGTTTGTACTGCACAGACACTGCAGGTACTTCCCCATGCTCATCGACCACCCGGAGAAGTGCGCGCGTGGAGAGGCGCACATCCTTATGGTGGTTAAATCCGTCATCGAGCAGCACGATCGCCGGGAGGCTGTGCGTAAATCATGGGGAAAGGAACACACTGTGGATGGGAAGAAAATCAAAACGTTATTTCTTCTGGGGAGCCCAACGACTGGGAAGGACACTAAGAACCTCCAGAAACTGATCGAGTACGAGGACAGGATCTACGGGGACATCCTGCAGTGGGACTTCATGGACACCTTCTTTAATTTGACCCTGAAGGAGGTCAACTTCCTCAAATGGTTCGACATCTACTGCTCCGATGTCCAGTTTATCTTCAAAGGAGATGACGACGTGTTCGTGAACACGCAGAACTTGGTGAAGCTCATCGACTTCAAGGTGGAGGATCGCAAAGAGGCCAATTTGTTCGTGGGGGACACCATCTCCAAGGCGAACCCCATCCGAAACCGGCAGAGTAAATACTACATCCCCAGAGAGCTGTACGATAAGCCATATCCACCTTATGTTGGAGGAGGAGGGTTCCTCATGTCCTCCAAGCTGGCCAGGAGGCTCTTCGTGGTCTCCGAGGACCTAGAGTTGTACCCCATTGACGATGTGTTTTTGGGCATGTGCCTGCAGAAGCTGGAATTGGTCCCGGAGATGCACCCGGGCTTCAGGACATTCGGCATCACCAGGCGCAAGGTGAGCTCCATGAACAGCGAGCCGTGCTTTTACAAAAACCTCATCGTGGTGCACAAACTGAGCCCGCAGGAGCTGCTCAGGATGTGGAACGTGGTGCACAGCGAGGGGCTCGTGTGCTCGCGTAAAGTGTCAATATAACTGAAAATGTATATGAAGTAAACTAATTCACCCAAACTGAACTGAATACACGGGAGAATTGCGTTGTTTTTAATGATCATGATGATCTTAACACGTCTATACTGAATCTGCTGAGTTATGTTCAAGAAGGGGGAGAAATATACAAGTTTTCATCCTTTTTTTAATTTCGCATATTGTTCTGACGCAATCCAAGAGCATTTTTGGAAACCACTAACCAAAACTCGACAGTGCGTATACGCATCCTTGGAACTTTTTTTTTCCTTCTCATTCTTGGTGCCATTTCAGGATCATTCTATAGTTTTAATATGAGATCTAACATTGATGCTGGGAGACATGGTTGTAATGGTTTTAGTGCGTGTTTGTGCAGGCATAAATAAGACTGGACTTCTTACTTCCTTGTGTTCCTGTGACAAAAAATGCTAATTCTATTGTCAATTTCTAATTTCAGTGTGAATTCATGGACTCAAAGCACACAATTGCATTCCAGGTTGATTTATGATGTGGAAGGGGGCTGATTTTGTAAAAACAAAAAAAAATTATTTGATTATTTTAAGTTAATATATTGTTTTATTCCACCTTTTTATGGTATTTTCTAAGTGTCAATGATGTGTATATGATTAGCCGAGGCAGGTCAAAAACCAAAGAAACTAAAAGGGCTGTAATACTGTAGATTTGTGTATGATAATGTAAATAAAACTGGGACTATCTGTCAACTCTTTAAGTACAGAATGGTTGTTGCATCATTTCTGAGTAGCACATGAAAATGCTGATTATTTTGGGAGAAATTTGGATTTCAAATGTACAATAGTATCAGAAATGTTTTGTCAAGTGAAACCAAATCTGCAATGTTATGCTAAATGTAGCTTTATTTAAACAAATACAGATAATTTGCAGAATAAAATAGCCATTTCATGCCATAATTATTCATAAAACAATGACTATGCATATAAAAGCACATCAAAAATATCCACCGTTGCAAAAGTCCTCAATACAGAAACATATAAAAGCCAATGTGAAGGATTAGGAAATCAAAAATAAACTTTCGTATACCTATAACTTATTTAACAGTACGTCTAATCTCACACATTAATGAAGAACTTCCCCTACTCGTAATACAATCTTTCAAAGACACCTTGGACTGTTTTACGGAAGTTTCTGTGTAAATTCTTCTTGGCTGAGGATTAACACAGACTTATTACAATCACCATCGTCATAACACTGTGCGGTACAATGGAAGATGTTTAAATGTTGAGTTTGAGGGTCAAATCAGCCAAAATCCACTAAAAAGAGCTGCTACACAGATTCTACTATTGACTGTACATTCATGTCCATTGTGTGTTTTCCTTTTTAATAATTATGTTACGTTAAAAGCTCTACTTAGTCTCTTACTCAACGAGTACAGCATATGAAATTGTGCTATCTACTGAAGATTGTCAGTAGGAATTAAACAGGAATAATAAATCAAGTTCAACCTGTACTGAAGATTCAGTACCATCCCTTTGGCAAAGTGCTATTTCATATTATTCTTTCGATATACACGTCAATAAGTAAACATGTAAGTGCAAAGCTGACAGTAAAGCTGCACTCAGGTTGTCAGGGAGGATTCTAACGTGTTGCCAAGGGAGGAACGCTTTTATCCTCGTCTTCTCACATTACTGCTTCACGGAGAGGCGTGTTTTAAGTATCATTTACTGTCACTGTGCCCTGTCAAGATGTACTACATATGTAGCATTACTACACTGATTAACGTTTGTGGTCCAAATATAATTTAAAATTCAATGCTGATTTTGTTCTTTTTGTGCCCATTTTGACTATTTTAACAATAAAATGTTTTCCTTTATAGCGGCATTGGATAGCTTGTGAAGAACGGTTCGTTAACCAACTCAAAAATGAATAACCCTGAAGATGTCACAATGAGTCATCAGGGTTATGTCAGCCCCTAGATGCAATTAGGCACAACATTTCAAGATATTTTGTTGTATTTGTCTCTTTTGAGTCATCAAGAAACTTAAAGCAAACAAAATACCAGAGTAATGGGTGACGCCTTCTAGTTGTATTATTTCCAACTGGGGTTGGCTCCCAACCAGTCAGCAGTTTGAACAAAATTAGACCGAAAAAAAACAACCTGTAAGGTGATATCGGCAAACAGAACGCAGTCTGCACATGTTTACTAGCCCGGCAGGTGTGTGACGCCATGATGACGTGCAGACAAAAGAACAGGTCTGATGATGGTGATTCCAGGTGGACTAACCCTAACCCTAATCCTAAGTAGGACTGGAAACAGAGTAAATACAGCGAACAACATGCTGTCATTTTGGTCAAAAGATGTGAAAGCTATCATGGGAGCAGGAAATCTTTGAGTAGCTTCCTACAGGGCTGTGTGTTGCTGCTGGGGGCCTCCCCAGGGTGCTTCAGTGTCAGTGCTTCCCTGGTGTACTTCCTCTGGCCATTGGTGCCAGGGCTGGGATCCGGCTGCCTCTGCCCATGGCTCTGCCTCTGGCCCCTACCGACCACGCATGCTTCATCTTGGCTCCACCAACAGCCCTGCCTGGTCACACACAACACATATCTGTACAGTAGACCTGTAAAGGAACATCCATAAAGAGGGGGGTCCTCTATATGAATGTTCCTCTGTTCTATTTACCACCAAACACAGCAGCCTGCATTAGCTGTGATGCATGTATAAACAGGAAGGATTCATGACATCAGCGTATTGTGGTTATATACCTTCACACCAACCCTGATGCAATATATTGTTTCTTTGCATTTACTTTACTATCGAGCATTGCAAGTGCCTCAAATGTTGGACTGTCCCATTTATTTTTGATAGTTAAAACGGAGTATTGAAAGTAAACCTTTTAACTCAACTACATATTTCTGCCTTTTTACTTTTTGTGTTCAATTTTTAGAATGATGGAAATAATTTACTTTTTAAAAGATTTGTATTGAACAAGATATGTGTTGTATATTAGCTGCATAGTGTAAACAGCAGAAAGGAAAGTAATTAAGTTAAATCTGTTATTTTATCACGGGCGCTATTTCCAACTCAAGACTGCTATTTGAGCCATCATCTATTAACAGGATTAATTATTAACATGTACAAGATGTGTAACGGCTTACCACCTTTTACAAACTATTTCCTGGGAAAATCCCTGAAAAAGTTCACTTGTAAGCCATTATGCATTTGGAATATCACCTTTCATGCAGTATCAAATCAGTCAATGGATAATTGGATTAACTTTTTTGAAACGTTTTCAGTATCCGTATGTCAGGGGGCTCATTATGGTGCCTATTGGCACCCCTGATGTGAAGGGTCATGCTCCAGGAACTGCCGTCCTGCTCTTCTGACCTAGTCTAGGTCCTACCCATTGTCATCGAACTTGCTTAAAGTTATACTCTTAAATATCTCTGTTGATATGGCAGCAATGTCAGTTGCCTGTGGTTACGGCTGGTCTATTTAATGAATACAGCTTGCAGAATTCACTTCACTATGGCATGTAAAGCCACCACTGGGGGCAAAAAATGACACCATGAGAGCTTCTACTCTTTTACATAGGCAACAGAAGATGAGCACTATTAACTGAAGACATTTTGACTCGTCACATTAGGTAAAGCACAGGTGTAAATAATGATAGTAATGAAGCCTGTTTGCAATGAAGATACGATTAAAAAGCCGTCATTAGTGTAATTAGCAACACCTGTCACGTAATGTAACTAAGTACAATTGCTCAAGTAACCTATGCACAAAACATACTTTTACTTTCCTTGAGTGTTTCCATTGTATGTTGTTCTATATAGTTACTGGTTAGTAAACACATAAAAACATATAATGAGCTGATATGATGAGGTATTAAGGCACTATTCATTTTCACAGTAGTATTCAAACTAGCTGAAATTCATATCTAAAACTAGCTAAAAATACAAGATTAATTTGTTCTTACATATGATCTTCAAAAAAATTATATTCTCTATTAATGATAATAAGAAAAAATATTTTAATACTTCTGCGCTTTTACATTTTGAATTTAGGACTTTAATTTGGGAGTACTTTGTGACTATGGTATTTCTACTTTAAGTAAGGGATATAAGCACTTCTTCCATCACTGGTAACACCTATGCTTTGGTTAAAGTCAAAATGTCTGCTGTGAAACAGTGAATCTGTGAAGATGAAAAAATCATGGGGATTCAAGGCACATGTTGTTTTAATGAAAAGAGAACAAAAATAAATGTTTCCCAACGGTAACTCTACCCATGGGCTTTAGTCTCCTGCATCAAGTTGAGTAAGTGCACACATCATTTCCTGTAAACCTTGGGTCAAGTACTTCACCAGTAATGAATACTATATAGAGAAGTAAACTACGGAATGCAAATACACTAAATAGTTACTGCTGAAACCATAAATAGTATATTAAATTGGGTTTCACATGTTACACACCTTAAATCGTAGGGTTAGGGTTAACTTAAATATATTCTGCAGTGGTTCTCTAGGGTGGGTGTTTTTTTTAAGCCCAACTGTCACTCTGGCATCAAGGTGGTTATTATTGTAATGAGAGACGTTGCTTTCAAAAATAATGTGCATTGGGCCTCATACAACTGTACAAAAAGCCACTCGATGTTTCGATCATTAACACATTAACAATTTGAAAATATCAATTAAAGAGGAACACCCAATACACTAGTTTTCATATTAAACCTGTCACTATTTGTATGTGCTTCATTATGTGCTTTGTGGCAGGAAATCATAGTGGAAAAGCTGTAACATGACATCTTTACCAACAAGCATGGGCACTCTGTATAGCGTTCACATTGAGCGTTAGGGAGGTGGGTGTACGCAGGGGGTGTTATGAATGCTTTACCTTGTGCTGGCTGGGTTCTCTGGGACACCGCAGTCCTGCGTGAGTTTTGTTTGCAGCCCTCCCTGCCCATGAGGTGAGCCTTCCAGGCCTGGAACAGGGACAAAAGTAGCTCAGTGAGTTTGTTCCTCTCCCAGGTACTTTCTCGATCGGGACAGCAACATGTGACTGTGGGCCCAGTCAAGACCCCAATGGCTGCCCTCCCTCCCACTAACACTAAAGCTTTTCATTGGCTGCATACCCACAACTCTGGCACTGAGTGTGAGTTTCTGTGAGTTTTTTCTTTATGTATTTTTAATGGTGTGAGAGGTTTTCAAAATCAATCAGATTTTTAATACAAAT